GTATAGTAATTTGTTATACAGATAAATTTATTTAAATATATAAAGCATATAATATTTCGAAGAAAAAAAATATTTTCAATGTTTAGAAGTAAAATAGTTTGGAAAAATTCTGAATTTTAGGAATAATATGGAAGTGTAAATGAGGGATAATATTAAAGTGGGTTTTAGGAAAACAATTCTTAAATATGTGAACTCAGTTCAACGAGCTTATATTTTGAAAGTTTGCTGTCACAGTAATGGACAAAAAATTTCTTGATAAGACTCAGTTCTTTTAAGGAATGTCAGCACCGGAATATTTAAAATCCTTCCGTTTGTTGATGCAACCAGGTGCCTTACGGATTATTTATAAAGTCATTTAATCCAGAGACGCAGTTTCGTCTAGGGCAATCAGTTCTGCCACTCTGATAGCCGCCAATATTACCTCTTTTTCTGGAAGAACAAATACCTATTTTACGATCCAATGACCTTTGCTATCCTTTGCTGACCCCTGTGATATGAGACCGCTTCTCCTGTACTGGTCGGTCATAAAGCGTTGGGTGGTTTCCGTACGAAAGCGATGAAAAGGGAAAGATGAATTGTTATAACGCACAAGGACCAGGAAGGAAAATGTTACATCTGTGGTGCATTTGGGAAACCGTTTTGGACCAAAAGATGTATTCCTGCGTGAAAATTGTTTTCCCTCAGCGGAGGAAACTGAATGTTTAGATTTAATTCAGATGAGTTTCGTGCCTCACACATATTTCTACAGCCTACGTGAAACAATTCGCTCGGATATAGGTTTACAGTAAGTTTACTCGTATAAAAATTTAAATATTAAATGTTAATTGTAGTAATAATATTTTAATATTTAATAAAATATTTGTATTGTGATTAGACGGTTAAAATTAAACAATTATAATCATCACAATATGACGCAACATTATCATCCCGTATAAAATAATAAAACAATTTTTAAAATAATGCTTCTATTTAATTTTTAAATGCTGCTGGAAAAACACATCCTTGCAAGTTGTTTAATAATTTTGGCTCCATATACTTTCAATATCCGTCATCAAAAGTCGAAATATTCTTGAAATCTGCAGTCCCAGGAGTGACACAGAAGATTATCGTGAATTGTTTTATCAAATAATCTCAGAATCCCTTTTATGTAGAATGTCATGTTAATAATTTTCCAATAAGTCCGCAATGGCGGTGTGTTGTAAAAGGAAGTGCAAACAGGCATAATAAGGTCAGAGTGCCCACTCAATCTTGATTGCTAAAGGTCACCTCTGCTAGAGAATGAGAAGGTCATCTCGTCTCTGCACAGAGATAGCTTTTCCCTCCGCTAGGGACGTTGCTGTCTCTGAGCGATTGCTGACAACAGGAAGTAGTAGTCCGTTATGACGTCACAGAACTTTATTCTCAAGTGCTTTTCATGTATTAGATGAAACTTATTTGTTTAAATGTCAAAGTACGTCACTTTCAGGCTGATGATGAAGAAACTTCATTATAAAGATATAATTTCGACGAAACTGAAAATAGCTATTATATCTACTGGACCGCTCGCGATGACCTCACTGAACATCTGTAAAACGTAGGTCACCAATACCTTCTCTGCTATGTCTGCCTACCGTACAATTGTACTGCTATAAATACGTTTCATGAATTATAAATCTCACATTACATTTTATACACAACAACAGTTATAAACTTCTGCTTGAAAAAATCTGTCTTTCTGCAGGACGTGTTTCAACTGGTCATCTTCTTGGGTAAAACGTACCAAACTTTCTTTTTTATTCAACCATCATACGTCTTTCTCCACACTTTTAATTCTGAACGTGACTGTACCACATTACAATGTTTTTACAAAAATGTATACAATAAAATCAGTGAATGGCCCTTATTCCGTTAATGCACAACATACATTGCGTTAGAGCTGAATTTACATACCAAACGCTTGAAAGAAAAGCAGCACAAAGAACTTCTAATAATTTGTGCTGGATTCCAAAACAAAGAATTCGCAGGTTATTGAACATCATTCTGTAAATGCACTAGAATTTTTTTAAAAAACAACAACGCGGAGTTAAACTAAAATTTGCAATAAGGGTAAGATGGGAACATATACAAATGCGCTGACGTAGTTTACTGAAGATCATAAAATAGATAAGTCTTGAGACGTTCCAGCTGAGGAAGCGATGGTTGTACGCTGTAAGCTTTCATTCCGTCTTACTTGGAATTGCGAAATGGGACATGTCAGACGCAAATGTCTGGACTTCATCAAAAGAACTTGGAGGGTGGGAGATTCCCCACGAATCATCATTCATCTTGAATTTTTTATCCTTCAAATGTTGGCGTGTCTGTTAACCCTCAACTACTCGTTCAGTCCCACTTTCTTCTTGCTAATCCCCCTCCCACCCCTCAATCGCCCAGAACCACCATTAAAACTGAGTTATCATCTGTTTGTGAGAGAACGATTCATCAGATAGGGCGATTTCCTCCGCTACGCGCGGTCTACAGACTGGCGAGTTCTGCCTTGATTGGATTCCATGTCTCGTTTCCGCCCATCAACAAAATCAGAATCAGAGGCATAAACAGTATAAGATGTCCCCATGCATTTTCTTCGAATATTTTATAAATTTAAACGATGTAAACGGATTTGAAGTAGCAAACTACCTCAATACATAACCAGGGCGTGTTATTTTATCGTTAATTACGCTAAGACAATTCGCCAAGTCATTTTTTAAGTTGTCTTATCTTATGAGATGCCGTGTCGATAAGTCGGTAGGAATGATTTCAAAGCCATTAAAATTATAAAATATGTTTTCTCCAGCTTTCAACATTATTAATCCCCTGCATTCACTTTCATTAATCCTTTGAAGCCAGAGGTCATAAAAATATTGTTAAAATCATCAGTTCCTACCTCAAAGAAAACACATTGTGATAAATTGGTTAATGCTCTTTAGAGAAATAATCGCTGTTTATTTTAATAATCATATTAAAGTCATAAACACAAAAGATTACTGTCTTTTTGGGATATTTCTCTGTATCGTCTCGTTGAAATTCACCGGACGTTTCAGAGGTAACTCCTGAGTAATCATCGCCCTGATATTGACGCAGTGAACACTTCCGAAAATTCCGGCTCGCTTCTACGAGATTAGATGACGTAGACATGAGAACCTGCGAGCTCGACAACAAATACACTCTGAATTCTTGAATATTAAAGTTGGTGGGACATTCACCGACCACTACGCTGCAAACTGTTCATGTCATTCAATGAGAACAGAGTAAACCTTTAAGCAATATTTTACGGTCACTCTAGTAGAGGGATGACCACACTTTAAGTAATGGCCGCCATTGGTCTTAAGCTCCTTTTACAGTCTACTTCGTCCATGATAGTGGTTTAGACTTTAGTTTGAGCTTCCGGGCTTTACCCAGATTTACCAATAGGATGCAATGATTATACCATGTTGATACTTGGGACCAGGTTAGAGTTTAGCCATTGGTTTCAGTCTGGGATTTGTGCTTCACATTAATCTGATGTTGCGTTACACGAAGGCGATGTATCCAGAAATTGGAAGTCCAGTACAAAGTACAGACTGGTTATAAAATAAGCAGCAACTGCTTTAAATAGTGACTAATAGTAATCTAAAGTATCTAGTAAATTTTCGGTACAACGCTACCAGGCCCTGGTACCTTGCAATTGATGAAAGTAGAATTCATTCCTATGTTTATTAATTTCCATTTATATTCATTCATATTGTTCACCGTAAATATCTACTATAAGACATCATCAGTGTTTTGCCTATGTAAAAAATTTTAAATTATTATACCAAACATTTTATATTCAAATAATATTATGTGTTAAAAAAAAGGAAGACAACGTAAGAAATTAAAATTGTAACTTGCAAACCACTGACAATAAAGCACTGTATAAACTCATATGTAAGCATGAACAAATAAATTTCGTTGGTAATAAATAAAAATAAAATATGTCTCGTAAAAATGGTAATGATTTTTTGTTTTCTGTAACAGGCTGGGACTTTATTCACTAGCTGAGATACTACTAGCTTCTCAAGAAAGGTTCTACCATATTGGGTTATTTATTAATCTTACAATTCATTTAATCAGAGGGCAAAGTCATTTCGGAACACAGATGTGTCTCGCGTCCATCATTTGTCCCTATTTTGACATATACATTAATAATCTAAACATAGCGGAAACCTAAAACCCATTACAGCTAGAGACAGAAAAGAACCTGTGCATGTCTTTCAATATACAGCAAAACTACATTTTAAAAAAATTTACACTCAACTGGCTTGCATGCATAATTCATGTGCACCAGCACACCCACACATATATGTATTCATGATTCATTTTCGTTTGTTTCCATGACTCCCTCGAACTGTGAAGCTTCGATATTTCCCCGCTTCTGATATAATAAATTAATAAGATTTTAAAAATATATATATATAATTAATCCAACCGACGGGAATTTTAACCCTACAAGAAATTTCTTTTGTATCTCGACCTTACTTTAAAATCCACTTCCGGCATGCTCTAAAGTTATTCACTTTTATTGTTCCACACGCTCCCCTTCAGTTCCGTCTAAAAGAAATTGTCCTAAAATCTAGTTCCTGGTCACGTCCTTGCCCCCGCTGAACTTGGCAAGCCCTGTGCTCGGCACACTTAACACCCTGTCTCCAGAACCTGCGAGTAGATTTCAATTACAAAATCAATACATTTTGTTTCCATAATTTACATCTGTCTAAGCCAGCATGTTTGTTCGTGATTTCTCATAAATGATACACGCCCTTACGGTACTCGTTTAAGGCACTTTGGCGTAGCTTGAATACAAAAAAATTCAATATCAACAAAAGAATTATTTTCATAATGGAATACGTAGAAACTTGATGCTATCTCCTTGAGATCTACAAGGAAAATTCACAATGGACAAAGAAAATGCACTTTTATCTATCGCCCCTTTGTCAATAACGTGCTACAGAGTAAGAAACAGGACTTACCTCTCTCTCGCATTCAACCGCACGCGCAGAGCAGTCCCTCGCCAATGGCCGAGTAAAAGTTCAAGAAATGAGTTGTAACAAGGATGCTGCGAGTACAGAAAGAAATGAATTATTAAACTTTCATAATTCTTTTATTTTTCATCCTTAAGAATAATAAAAGACGAATAGATTGTTGTCAAATTAGATATCAATACGAAGTTGCCTTCTGTCTTTGAAGTCAGAAATGGAATTAATTCCAAACTTTCATAAATAATGAATACAAATGAAGAATAAATGGTTTCGTCAATAGTATAATACAGTTTTGATTTTAAAATAACAGCCAAGAGAGATTATAAGGCCACAGTACATTAATAACTGAGATTTAAACAAAGAATAAAGTTTACAGACAAAATCGATTAATAGATATTATTTAGGTGTTGTGTGTAACACCCAAATACGTTGTAGTATCTAACTTGGAAAAGAAAAATACTTCTTATGAAGCGAATAGATACGGTTTCCAAACAAATCCCGCATATTTTCCTTAAATTCCAACGTCCATTACAGTGTTTTTGTTAGAAGCCGACACTGGAACTTCTGCCAGACCAGCTAAATCCAATAATGCAATCAAATAAATAAATAAATAAATAAATATACACTATACCATATGTGAGGCTAGATCTTACAAGGCAATTCTTTTAAAAATATTATTCTCATAATAATGCAGTGTACACATAATGTTAAACATAAAATACAAACTGAAACACTTTTATGGACCTTACCAAGAGACAAACTAGTTTATTATATTTATCTATATTAAAAAGTTTTGTTTCCATGCACTATGACTTTCACAGGCATTAAGTACGCACAAGGGAAATAAGAAATGCATATAAAATTTTAGAGGTAAGATACCGGAAATAGACTCGAGGACAGAATTACAGCGGATTTTAAACTAAGGTGTGAGGGTCTAAAATGGATTTAGCTAATTAAATAAAAAATTTCTTGGATATTATCCATCGTCTAGTAAATATAAAACGTAAAAAACGACGTTTCGGAGATGGGACTCTATCTCCGTCTTCAGGTTCATACACAGTCCGGAGATAGGGATTAGCTCTATCTAGTGGGCCCAACTGTGTAGGAACCTGAAGACGGAGATAGAGTCCCACCTCCGAAACGTCGTTTTACGTTTTATATTTACTAGACGATGGATAATATCCAAGAAAATTTTTATTCAATTGACTCTTCACCATCGTCAAGAAGTTTTAGATCTGGATTTAGCTAGCTCAGGTTGGCGTTCACGTGTAGGCTGTTGTGAACACGGTAATGAACATTCGCCTTCCATGAAGAGAGTGGTATTTATTGACCAAATGGGGGACTGTAAACTTTGGTATTTATCGCCATTTATGTTACTTAGTTTGTTTGATTTACAGTAACTGTCTGTTAGCAGATAGATGAAATCAGTTGATAAGGACGACCGTGCTTACATCGAATGAGATGAAAACGCAGAACACCATTGAAGGAAGCCATAATATAACTCAAACCCCTGAGTTTCCACATTTTCACAGAATTTTATCTCACACAGAGTGGGAAAAATCACTTTGTACTTCATAATTCCCCGAGAGATGTCACAGTGGGTGGTAAAGTATAGCGGCTCTGGTAATTGAGAAGAAATCTCTTCTTCTAGTAATGTCACTTCACTTCTCAAAGCGATAAGCCAAACTGCAAAAGTGACACATCAGACATTTTATCTGAGAAAGAACAAATAATAGTTTGACCTAGGATTTTAATTTCCTGCTAATAAAACTAGGGCTAGAAACACGTGCACAGAATTTATTGGTGGACCAATTTTCGGTACAGCATCGATCTGTGGAGTTTAGTGAAGCTTCGTATTTTATTAACATGAAGTCTGTTAAATCGAGCGTGCGATAGAAAAATATTTTCCACAGATGAAATATATAACTTTCTCTTTGCAGCGTGTTATTTTTTTTTCCCTTGTGTTTACGGTAAACGTAAGTAAAAGTATGACTGCTATTTTCATTCTGTCCCCTCCAGGTACAAGTCATTACGAAGTCAACGACAGTTTTAAGTACTTTTTGTTACATTTACAGAGGTCACATGGGAGGACAAGTGTTTTTATTCCATTTTTCTCCTCATTATCATTTTCATATGTTTTAATTATTATATTCTGCTCTTTTTTCGTAAATTCTTACCTTCGTCTTCCTTTTTTTCAAATTCTTTTTCATCTTCTTCTCCCCAATAATTTCGTGATATGATAAAATAGTGGAAAATTTTGTGTTAAGTTTATAATAATATTTCTTATAATAATTATTATAATTATATAATTATTATAATTAATAATATTTCTTTCTAATTTCTAGTACTTTATAGCCCTAGGTAGATTACGAGACTGACTAGGTTTGAGGTTT